GCACGATAAATAATACATATAATATGTACATATATATATACATATAAATACATATATACCTATATAATATATATACCTATATAATTTATATAAATACCTATACGTCGTCATACATGCATATATACATACATACATATATACATACATACATACATACATACATACATACATACATACATACATACATACATACATACATACATACATATATACATACATATATACATACATACATACATACATATATACATACATTGCGGCGAAGAATCGGTGAACCGTACGATAATAATGATCCGCGATTAACCGCGTTATTTTCGCTATCGTCAGTCGCAGAGCTTTCGATAATTTATTTGGCAACATTACCACGCTCACCCCTTCGTCGTTCGATGGCTCACGAATCAACGGCACGGTTAATTTGTTCGCGTTTTCTATATGAAAGCACACATCGTTTTACTTTCGAAAGCATATCATGAGTCTATAATTTCAAGTTTCATTTTATATATCTATAGGTATATAAAACGATTGCCGTTTACAGTGTCATCGGTTTAATGTCCAACCATTCTAGTGATCGGGGGGAGGTGGGAGGGGGTGGGGGAGAAAAAAGAAATGGAGGTATATTCCGCTAGTAAATTCGATCGAAGACGTTGCTTATCGCAAAACTCGTTCGCTTTTGTGCTTACATACCTCTTTCTCTCTCTCTCTCTCTCTCTCTCTCTCTCTCTCTCTCTCTCTCCTTTTCTCTCTCCTTCTCTATTTTTCTTTTCCTCTCCTTTTCTTTTTCTCTCAGTAGTACCTACTTGCAGTGATAGCAAAAGGAATGGCAGATGGTAGAAGGAGTATAAAGTCGCGTAGAAATCGCTCTCGTTTGTCGACTCGTTCGTAAAAGGCAACAGCTCCGGGCGAAGGAAGAGAGGCGGATGCGAAGGCGAACGTAAGGCGGCATACCGATAATTCTACTGAGTGCTTCGTGGAATTTATGAGGTTTAATCCTTTGCGGAATCCGAGAGGAAGAGAAGAAGAAGAGACGAGGGTGGTTGCAAGCGAAAAGACGAGCAAGCGATTCCCTCTATCTTTTTCTCGCTTGCTTTCTCTCTCTCTCTCTCTCTCTCTCTTTCTCTCTGATGCTTTCTAGAGGATCTGTTCGTAGATTGGAGTCCGTGCGAGAGTTCAAAGTGCAAGGAAAAAGATTCGAAGCGGCATATCGCGAGCTAAGAAACGGAGCTTCGGCTTTGTACGATAAAACTAAAGAAACGAGGATGACGCCTCTGCGACTATAATATCTTGAAAATACTTTATGGATCTATGTCGATAAGATACTGTTATTTTCTTCGTCATTTCAAACGAGCGAAGTAAGTAGCGAATCTTCTCCTTTTCTTATTTCTCTTAAGACGATTTACAATGGTCTATTCCTCTTGTTACGTTTATTTCACGAAAAACATATATTTCTTTTCTTTTCCTTTTCTTTTCTTTGTTCTTTTTTTTTCTTTTTTTTTTCTTTTTTCTTTTCTCTTTTCTCCTTTTCTTTTATTTTATTTTCTTTGCCTTGATCGGCAACATTTGAGAATAGGATAGACAACGATTATTCTATTTTTATCTCTTTTTCTTTTTCTTTTTCTTTTTCTTCTTTCGTAATCATCGATTTTACCGCAATGGGTACACATTATCATTTTTATTATTTTATCCTTCCCGTGGCCCCGTGTTTTATCGTTTGTAAGAAAAAGACTCAAATAGTTCTAGTGAGGGAGTTAAAAATAATTGGATATATAAAAAGAAAAGTGAGCTCTCTTCGGTACGGCGTGTTTTCCAACGGCTTATGATCGGAGTGTGTAATTATCTTCAGGCGTTCCTTGTAGGAAGCACTTTGCACAAGCCAACCTTTTTAGTTTCAGACTTATGTAGATATTTTTATGGCGATGCGTGTTTAAGGTGTTACGCTACGGGCTTTTATGTAAAACGAGCCGACGATAGAAGTGTGACTCTGAAAGATATACAATTATATTTTATACAATTCATCGCGATCACTAATGCGCCGAATGGAATATTTTCCCTTTTTTTCTATTCTTTTTTCTTTTTTTTTTCTTTTTTCCCTACCCCCACACCACCCCTTTTAAATTACAACTTATTACGTGATTATATATGTTTATTTCGTAGAATTTTCTTATCGATCATCGGAAAGATCGTGCAAATATTTATTTCCCTTCAAGTTCCATTATGGCAATTGTCACGGAGGTCATTGGAATTATATTGTTGTCTTTCACATTAACACTTACAATCAAATCTGTGTGTCTCGTTAGCACGTACCGTCTATGCTTGAGATAGATACATTTTTCTTATCGCTCTTCGTTATACATATTTGCTCACATGTTTTTTGCTTTATGCTTACTAAACGTCTGCATATTTATAGACAGGTTAGATTCGTATCTAAAAAGTAGATTGGATCGTTTAAACGTTTTATATCTTTTGATCGATCGTCGCAGCATGTTCTCTCCTAGTAGGTACTGCAAAAAAGAGAGAGAGAGAGAGAGAGAGAAAAAAGAAAATAGTTTGATAAATATATGTATGTATGGAAGATAATATGAGCAGCACGGAAGGATACTCAGGCCTATGTAGAAATTTAATTTATTCACGCAAAGAGGAGAATATCGCGAATATGTGACACGTTGACGTTTAGATAGCGTGGTAATATGTAAACAAATATGTATTGAAAAGAAATGAAGAAATTGATTATTGCGAGACAACGCTTTAATTTTTTTTCTTTTTGCACCTTCTTTTTTCTTTTGCATACGAAGATCAAATTGAAAAAGACGCATGTGATTTATAGTTGAAATCAAATAGATTCATTCATCTCTATGAATTCCATAAATTGAATTCATATCTTCTCGAATGACATGTTGCGAGGAAATATTTCTTAATTTTTCTATAAAAAAAATTTTTCTTATTTAGATTCGAATTGTTGTAAAATGTAAAATTTCAAGAGAAGATGCATTCCTTATCGCGTCGCTATTTCTCTATTAAATTCGCAATAGGAGTTCTTGAGTTGCCCGTCGACATTTCCGTTTAAAGATATTCTCGTATTTCAGACAATGGTAAAAAAAAAAAAAAAAGGAAAGCAGGTAGCAATGACGTAACTTCCGGTATGTCTTCGAATCGTTTTCATTCTTCGGACTTTCTAGTGGAATTTAATAAAAATCTAGGATATCTTTAAGATAGAGCCTGCGACCTTTTCCTTATTGTTTTTACTAACAAAAATTATGCTTTTTTGTTCTCCATTTCCATTCCCCAGCTTTTTTTTTTTTCTTTTTTTCTTTTTTCTTTTTTTTTGTTATCTTTTTTTGACCGAGTCGTTTATTTTTCAACATTCAGTCTTCTAGCTAAGAGCTCATTCTTCTTACTACGATTTATATTTTACGTTCGCATTTTCTTCGTCTCTCTATGTTTCCCTTTCTCTCTCTCTCTCTCTCTCTTTCTCTCTCTCTTTTTTCTCATTGTTTCAAACTTCGGTATATGTATCGATATCATATACGTCGGTATATGTTGGAGTAACAAAATCAATATGTCATTGACATATTATGTATTCATAAAATCTATTGAGACCTAGTGGAAATAGCCAATGATTTCACTAAATATGCATGCCAAATGAATTCATTCGTCGTTCGATTATATATATATATATATATATATATATATATATATATATATATATACATGCCTATCTCTATTAAGAAATTTTTTAAATTCTTATTCAACCAAACAACGAACGAAGCTAACCTTCTGCATAGTATACTTCAAAAGAATTTACTCGCATCTTTCCTTTTTTCTTTTCTTAAAACAACAGAGAAGCTTTCTTCGTATTTTCTTCGGCCAAGTTTTTCGTTCGATCGTTTGGTGTTCGAGCAAAGTCGAAGTAAAAAGAAAGAAAATAAATAAATAAAGAAAGAAAGAAAGAAGGAAAGAACGAACGAAAGAAATAAATAGAAAAAATAAAATAAAAAATAAAAAACATAAAGAAAAAGAAAAAAAAAAGAAAAAAAATAAAAAGGAAAGAAGCCGAGAAGGACGAGGACAAAAGGATAAGAGAGAAGTGGTTTGTATCGTGGCTATGTCTAACTTAAAATACTTTTTCTTAGGCCGGCTTCCAGCTTCGTTTGCTTAACAACGCAGATTTTTCTCTTTGACTCGATTCGTAAACGCATTCCCATCCGAGAGAAGGTCTGTCTCAACGATGGTATGAAGAGGAGAACGAAAAAGTAGGGGAATGAAAAAAGAAGTGAAAGAAAAGTCACTTTCAGCTAGAGCTTGTTAAACTCGAAGAAACAAACGACACTGGCCAACGAAAATGCTCTTTTTTACTCTTTCCCTCTCTCTCTCTCTCTCTCTCTCTTTCTCTCTTTCTCTCTTTCTCTTTCCGCTTTCTTCCCTTATTTTATTTACCATTCGTTTTCTTATTTTGTCGCTTTAGTTCCGTCTTCTTCTCTTTCTTACTTCTGTTCCAACCCTCCCAGTTGGGAGTTCCGCCAGAGCCATCTCTTAGGTGGAACGAGCAAAATCATTTGAAATGGCATTCGAAATAACGCACCTTGGAATTTCGTCGCGGGAAAAGCGTCGAAATTAGCGTATGAATGTTTAAAGTGAAATTCTTTAGGAATAGACCTTCCTAAGTAATCATGTAAATTTATAAAATATCATAATGTTTCATGAAAAAGCAGAAGAGAAACGAGGCGCGAGACTTTAAAGGAGAGCTAGTGGATCCACCCGGCTATGGCAAAATACGTGTCTCCTTAACAAGCTCCTACGTTCGCATACATATGTATGGAGATGCAAGAAGTGTCGTATAATTTGGATTCGTGAGATAATGAAACGCAAGCTGGTTCCTAAGAAGATACTACGGAGAACTTTACCTTTAGAGAAAGAGAGAAAGAAAGAAAGAGAAAGAGAAAGAGAAAGAAAGAGAGAGAGTAAGAAACGCGATAAAAGGATAATAGAAAGGGAACATTACTCACGATGCATTTCGATCGCGACCGAGGCCGACTCCGGTTGACTGATGTTATTGTTGGAAGCCTGACAGGTGAAGACAGCGTGAAGATCCGCTCTGGAAAGATCGGTCACGAGCAGAGTATTTCGACGAAGGGATGGAAACTCTCCAGGCACGTCCTTCGAATCTAATAGGGTTTCTCCTCGCCACCATTTTACCGTAGGTTCCGGGCGACCTGAGAACAGGGAAATTTCGTATAAAAAATGTAATCCATTTATTCAACCTCCATAAGTGGGTTGGGCAATTGGACGATTGGAATATTACGTCGAGATAAGAATTGAAGGCACTCGAGCAATGCGAAAGATAAAGATAGAGAGAGAGAGAGGAAAAGAGAGAGAGAGAGAGAGAGAGAGAGAACTGCTCGTTAACTCATAATTTATAATAATCATTGCGTGAGAGAACAAACCCTCAAGGATGAATGTGCTAAGGAGAGTTGGGAAGTGGTGAAGGGACAAGAGAGAGGTCGAAGGGTCGCACGTCTGCGGCCTCATTATCTTTTTCCACGGATCCATTTTCGCTCTCAGTGACAACGCGAAAGTAGGAGAGGGGAGACTCGAAGAGAAGCAAGCGGTAGGAGCAAACTCGTGGTTAAGAGGGAGTAGAACTCATCCAAGCTTTTGCTATATAATTCCGACGTGTCTCCTCTAGGCGACGGTTCGTACGAGGTAATAAAAATAAATTTATTATCGTTATTGCCTTCGTCTTTCAGAGGTAGCGCTCGGCCAGATATTAAAATATAATAGAGGGAAGGTAAGAAAAGCCAGGACGAACTAAAACCAAAACGAAACCAAAAGAAGATAGAATGAATTGAGCAAAGCGTAACGAAAGATGAGCGTGGCCTGCGTGCTCTATGACCGGTCTTGCTTTGCTTTGGCTACTTTCTTTGAAGATTTATCTTAATGGATCCCGACTTTCTGTAAGGGTTTTAAAAGAATTTTTAATAAGAGATAGCCGCGACGAAACGTCTCGATCGTATTGCATTATTTTTTTCTGTCGTTAAACTTTATATCTTTTTAGATGAAGATGTAAACAAGATCTATTTCAAACTTACCTCCTGATACTAAACACGTTAACTTCATATTACCACCCTCTTCGTATGGTCCGGCCACGGTCGATACAGTTTTTCCACGTTCGTCGATGATGTTTGGCTTGTGCGGTGGTACTAAAAAAGAAAGGAAAAAAAAAAAAAAAGATAATAACATTAGAATTTATTTCTTTATCATTTCGAAATGTTTCTTTAGAAAACATTTTTTTTCCTTCTTCTACGATATTCACGTGAGTGAATTTTAACGGATTTAATTTGTTTACTATACGTTGAAAGACGAACGGCCTAAGAAAGGCAATAGTTCCTTCGTTTCTTCGTACGGTAAGAAGCCAAAGGCCGACGGCATTGCAACGCGAAAATATTACCGATCAGGGAACGGAAATGGCAGTATTTTGTACCGCCGGAAGACTTCCAGTAGATTTGTTCGAATATTATACGGTATTACGAAGGAGCGGTGAGATATTTGTCGGTATAATGTGACAAGGAGAGCTACGACGAATCATCGATTTTGTCGCAATGCCTGGGAAACGTTAAATCCTTTGGTATTCTGCATCGTGATTTTGCCGTCGTAGATTCGACCATTACGAAATGATACTCGTATTCGTCGTTTTGTTCCCTTATCCGTTTCATGAGTCGCATATTGTACGAACGAGGAGAGAACTTGTATACGAGAGTGTTAGATGGAAAGCGACTAAAACATAACTATACTCGATTATACGAAAGAGTAATTATTACGTCAAAGCGTAAAGCTTTAGATAATAGCGATAAAAGATCATAATACCGATGTAAACGTGATCATACACGTGCGACCTTGTGTAAAGAAATATGTTGGTACGTAGAAATTCCGTTTGTAAATACAAAGCAAAGCTCTTCTCTAAAGCGACGCGAAACACTGAAAAAAAAAAAAGAAAAAAAAATAAAAACGAAAAAAAAAGGAAGAAAAAAAGGAAAGAAAAAAAAATCAAGAGAAGCGAAGTAGGAATTATGCTCAGCCGAGAACTCCGTTAATCGGCTTAGTCGCCGCCATTGCTAAAGAACATTTTGCCATTGAATAGAATTGAAAATTATCGCATCGCGAGCAAACGAAGGTACAAAGAATGGAAAGAATCGACGTAAGCTGAGATGGATCGTTCGATTGGAATTATCGGAATAGATGAGTTTTAGGATTTAAAAATAAACTTTGCGGACGAAAGTATATTCGTTGGAGAACAAAGAGCTTTGAGAAATTGAGAATAGAGAGGATTTTATCGTTATCGAATTACATATGCATTAAATCCAATGATATCAGGTTCGAGTAGAATGTATTCGGAAAATAGATAGGTAATTACTGAATCGATAAACTCGCAATATTCGTGTCATTTGAAAAGCTCGAATGCAAACGCCTTTATTGAAATAGTCAGATCTAATCATTCATGGAAGATAAGGTACGTTAATTTGATTACAAAAATTTCATTCATTTCTATTAATATAACGAAATGGTTCAACCTTGAGAGAAATATTAATTTTCGTATATGAGTCGATATTAACGTTTTTCCCGATAATACATAAAGACCGAATTAAATTTATATACGTGCTATAATAAAGAGCTTCTTTTCTTTCATTTCTTTATCCTCAAAAAGACTTTTAGGTGGATCGTGTTGGTATCGTAAGAGCCATTTGGTCCAACAAAAAATTACCTTCGCGTTATCCGTAATATCCGATCTAACGATACGAGAACAAAATTGAGAGAGAACGGTAACCGAAAGAAAGCGTTATCGTTTACTTTGCCATCAATTTTTCTTCTTTTCTCCTTTGATCCAGCACTTCGCTTTTTCACTTTCGGAAATTGGTTGGTATACCTTTACCTTTCATGTTTCCGCTACCATTACGATTATACTTTTGAATTGGGAACAATGTGAACGACCTAACCCAATACAATGGAGGGTATAAAGTGTATCGTATGTACGCTCTCGCGTATAAATCGTATAGAATATAGAGAAAACAATTCGCATCGCAAAAGCGAATATGTGCATGTGTTAAGTATATACATACATATAAATATATATATATTTATCTATACATATATATTTATTTATTTATATGTAGAAGTATATAACAGAAGTATATGTTATATATTTATATACATATATATATATATATATATATGTCTTTATCTATACATGTCTTTATCTATATCTATATCTATATCTATATCTATCTATCTATATATATATATATATATATATATATATTTATATATGAGGAATATGTCGAGTACAATACCGCACACACGTACTAGGAGTTCAGGTACATGGATTACACACTAAACTATGCGAACTATGCGAGGCTTCCTATTGGCCGAATTTCCACATAAATCGTGGTTTGTGCTGCCCGTGCGAATTCCCATACCGTAGATGTATTATGACAATAAGCATTACTGTCGCTCCTTGCATTGATACGCTAACCAATTAAATGTTCCGTTAATCTATACACGTAGTTAAATGTAGATAAATTCGATATGCAAATCGTTATCCCCTCATGAGGCTACAATCGATGTATTGCGATATCTCTTTAACGAGTCCATCCTTACCGATGTGTTTCACACATTCAGTATATTTATATGCCTTCCACTCTCTCTCTCTCTCTCTCTCTCTCTCTCTCTCTCTCTCTCCCAAACCCTGATTTTCTATGAATATTTATGTACATACATTGTATTACATAGAAACGTAATGACTCAGAAAAAAAAAGTGGTAAAAGAAAATAATACTATCCTAATGTAAAAAAATCGAGATCGGAGAGCAATGTTGCGGATTGTGTGCGGCGAAACAGCTGGTTATTTCCACAAGTTTCTTAAAGGAGAAAGAAGTGCTTGGCGATATGAGGGGAGGAGGATGTGGATAAGAGAAGATGATATTGGTGCGCGCAAGGATGGGAAGGTACGAGCGCCAGTATGGGTTTAATGTCTCGGAAAAATGGCGCGGCTTCCGCGTACTTACAACACCGGCACGTGGCTACCCTGATAAAACGTCGTAAGGAGGGTGCGAATACGCAGCCAACATGTTGCAGGAGATTATTATCGCGAGCTCCCTCTTCCATAAGATCGTTATGAATTTCAAAAAGGATACGATGCACGTTGCTATGTTTTCTCTTCTTCTTTCTCTCTTTCATTTTTTTTCCCCGTTCCATTTCCTCTTCTCCTCACCGATATATACATACATACTACATTCATATATACAAATATGTATATATATATATATATATATATATATATATAAGTACGTATATATATACATATATATATATATATATATAAATATATATATATAAGTACGTATATATATATATATATATATATAAGTACGTATATATATACATATATATATATATATATATAAATATATATATATATAAGTACGTACTCGTATAATGGATGTTATTGTTTATATATATATATATATATATATATATATATATATATATTGAAATACGTATGTACACATACACACACACACACACACACACACACATACACATATACACATACACGCATATAAATATATACGCAGATGTACTTACCAATAATAGTTAAATAAATCCTTGAATTCCTTGTGGGACTCTTAGTGAAATCCACCCGACATCTATAATCTCCCTCGTCTTTTTCCTCAACGTCACTGATGACTAACATAGCTGGATCAGTATTCATTCGGAACTGCGTGAATTCGTTCAAATGCTCCTTGTCCTTCCAATGCGATGCCTTTTCTGAATGTTTTCCCCTCATGTCGTAACTGAAAAGATAGAAAGAGAGATAGAGAGATAGAGAAAAGAGAGAGAGAGAGAGAGAGTGAGAGAGAGAGAGAGAAAGAAAGAGAGAGAGAGAGAGAGAGAAATAGAGAAAAACAAAGAGATACTTGGTATAAATACCTTATCTTCTAGAGGTAAAAGAAAATAAATGAATGAATTAAAACTTCCAATTGTTTCTACGTAAAACAAATCTTCGTCACGTTGAACGTTATAACGGAGCAACGATGGCATTTAATAAAAGACGATCGAAGGTAGTAGTAAGCTGTCGCGCTCGCAAAGTTTCATTAACAGTAGGATTAAACCGACGTGGCGGACTTAAGTTTCCTTAGGAAAATCTTCGGAGTTATAATAAAGCAAGAGCGAGAGAGCGAGAGAGCAAGAGAAAGAGAGAGAGAGAGAGAGGGAGAGAGAGAGAGAGAAGAGGGAGAGAGAGAGAGAGAGAGGAAGAAAGTGAGTCATTTGATAATCTGAGTAAGTATCTTTGAGTCTTGGCACCTGAATTTTATCGTGATCATCATTATGATCATTATTGTCATCGTCGTCAAAGGAGATTTATTCCTAACTATATAAGTTTCTCGATTGTGCCTATACGATTTAGCTAAGTTCGATTTGTTAACAAGAGAACGGAGTCTCATATCGAGGAACAGGAGATAGGAACGTACTAGAGGTACCACAGATACGACCACTTGCTCTTACTCAGGATGTTTCCGACGCAGTCCACGGAAATACCGCGAGAGGCTGAACGAACGGAAGGCCGTACGAGCCGGTCGTGCCGATCGTACCGGTCCCATACGTGTGTTAGGGGTGCATACTCGTCTTGTATTACCAACGTAACATTGTCTAAACGGCAAAGCTTCTATGTACGTAAGCGAGGATGCGTCTACCAAATCGCTTGCTCTCCCATATGCGACCGAAAACACGTTGAACGCATCTCGGTCCTGTTAGTAAATGTCTGCTCCTGGCTATACCTATCGACGTATTTAGGTACATAAGCGTATCGTTCGAAATGTCCGGCTAAAGATTTCTTATCGTTGAATTAGCTATGTCGTACTCATATCTTCTCCATTCACGTGGATTATCAGTTGGTAGATTACAAACTCTCCATTATATCGCGTAATAACGTAAACGTTTGTCAATTCCTACGAATGAAATTAATCGATTCTCAATGAGTATGCTTTCGTGTCTTTCTAATTTATCGATCGACATCTACAATATATGTATGTTTCTCTCTCTCTTTTTTTTTTTCTTGTTTTGTTTTGTTTCTACGAAATTTCCTACGATGGAAATCGTATAGTTTTATCGATATATCAATCGTTCTAATTCTATTTCGTTAACTATCTAAAGTACGCATCAATGAACAATGATGGAGCACAATTGAAATCGTTTTCGAGCTACTTGCAAAATGATCTTGCATCAATGTAATCAATTACATGAACGATATTAGAATACTTCCGGTTGAGCAACGAGCATAGTCGAGTCGATAGCGTTGATATCTGAACGTCGATATTGGGAAGGATCTCGATGTTGCGCTAACGGCTTCCGATGCGAAACAACAAGGTATAACGGATTAGCGGTTAGATGTCCACATCGAGACGCGGTTACGCCTGTCACATGCTGCTGCGGTTAATTACAGTGCGACATCTCCGCACACGATCTGAATTTAGTTCGCGCTATTGTGTACTTTGTACGAAAGGGAATGTTTCACTTGAATCGTACTTGATTATGTCTCTTATAAATCCGTCCCATTACGAAGTCATTTTTCGTCGAGATTTAAGAAAACGAATGAAACGAACGATTTAGATATATATTTCTTGATTCGTGATAGGATCGTATACGGTTCGAAACACCGCGATATCGACATAGAATATGATTTGAAATTAGATTGCGTTTGATGTCGAATCGTCAGTATGATGCATGCACGATGAATCTGTTTATGCTCATTATACTAACAAGTTCAATTCGTTTGTCAAGCTGAATTCAACTAAACAGATTCGCAAGAAGGATCGCGGACAATCGAAGTCTCTGTATAAATCCATGCAAACGCTATTCGATTGTTACTTACGGGGTCGTAGACACGTTGCTTCGTTTTGTTGTCAGTCAAAATACGAAATTGGCAGGTATAACGATGAAATTCGAAATCATATATCAAACGAATCTGCGTAACTACGTATGATATACGAGGTTATACGATGAGAAAAAGAAATAAAAGATCGTATCCAAGATATATCTTTCATTCTTAAAGAAAACATTATCGATAAAAATATTAAGAGCCTGCTCTACGATCATAGAGACTAAACCCACGAGATCATCGATTTTGTTTTACGATATCTACAATATCCGCAAAAGGAAGGATCGATCGTAAACCTTTAACGAGGGCAAAATACGTCTTTAAATTTAAAGTAATTTTTCGATATACTCTTTCATGAAAGAGGCTATATGCAATATTTTTTCTCTTTATCTCTATTCATATCTCTTTTCTCTCTCTCTCTCTCTACGATCTCAAATTTATAGCGTTAAAAAAAGTTCACTGGGAAGGAAAGTTCGGTTATGTTTTCATACTATTTCGGCAACTATGTCGAAAGTTTGAAGCTTATGTGTAGGGAACAGTTTGGTAGGACGGTGCAGTGGGTACGACGTTTCGTCGTAAATTTCTACGAATGCTGTAACAGGTCTGCACACTACACTCTCTGCTCGTTCATTGTTATTATGACGCTCCACGTCGTTATGAATTTTATGACTTTACGCCGTAAGTAATACGAGAATTTATAATGCCCCGTCTAGTAACAGGCAAATTTCTATGAAATTCACGGTCATAAAAAATCGATGATCGTTACTTACGATTATTATTATTTTTTTTTTTTTCTTGTTTCTTTTAATATAGATATTTTTTTCATCAGAGAAAAGAAAAGCTAACGAAGGTAAATAAGTACAAGACTATAGTTCTAATAACGTGAAAGGCATTCAAAGAATATATGAATTTCAATGAAAGTAAAATTCAGGATTAACATAAGCAACGAAAGTTATGAAAATGTACATATGTATAATACGTGTCAGATCATTAAATAAACAATGATCTGTAAAGTTTATTTACGAGTTAACTAGATTGTTTTTCATTTCAACGAAATCGATATTCAATTTAATCGTCAGAGTACAAAGATGAAAATAATATTGATCGTGAAGAAAGATCTGTTATAATCCTGTATTATGTTTTACAAATTCGAAATGATGTAAGAGTAGGTGGATGATATCGTTAGAAGGTGAAAGGTTTCGTTGAGAAATTAGATATATAGATATAGGAAATGTTGGATAGGATTATTAAACGGAAATTTTCGTCAAGTCACGTTAACGTTGTATAGGATATAGGACGCATCCGGTCGATGGCGGCCCTGCCGCGGCCGATCCAACCGTCGGTGTGGTTCGGTTCTCTGCCGCGACGGTCGGTTGGTCTACAGCGCTGCAGCGGTTTGGCGCGGATTAATAACCGAAAGCCCCAAGTTAATTAGCTTGCCGGTATAATACGAAATACCGCGGGCACGTGCCGCGGTAATGCGTCCACCGGCGACTCGACTTCCCTCGAAGCCGCTACTATCGATGTTGTTCTAGAAAGTGGGTTGGTAAGAGATGGAAAGATATGTATATATACATATATATATATATAGAAGATAGAAAAGCCAACGCCGGAAACCGCTTTTCACGAGCACAGTCACGTGCTATCGTTGTACGTGAGAGAAGGCGCGAAGAACACTTGTGTTCATTATTACACGGACCGGACGATGAAGTTCGCGTACGCTTCAAGTATTCTACGATAGACCCTTGAACCGTGTTGTAACTCCATCCTACGAGAACGATTTTAAACTTACAATTTCTCGTTCCAATTGACAACGAAATATCTACTATATTTCAAAGAGAAATAGTTAGGCTAAAGGGGATAATACCGCAATCGTTTTATAATTCTAAACGAGTACGATTATTTCAATCGAAACTTAAAAGACTGAGATGATTTTCTACGAATGGCTTGATAGTAAAAGGAGACGAGATAGTAGAAGTACCTCGCTAGATTCTCCGGTGAGCCGGTAAGCGCAATTTAATTTCGCTGAAATCGCTGAAAACGTCATCGATCCTTTCGGGCTTCCTTAAGAAATATGATGATATCGAAAAAGTTCCTTTCACCATGCAATTTCTTTCTTTCTTTTTTTCTTTTCCTTTTATTTTATTTTATTCTTTCTCTCTCTCTCTTTCTCTCTCTCTCTCTCTCTCTCTCTCTCTCTTTTTTTTTTATATCTATCGTTTATTTCCTCTTCTTAATAATTTCTCTATTCGTTGGGATTATAAGTACGAGTAAATCGTGTTACGATAAAGAGTAAATGTATGTACATCGTTTGTATTCAATATCTTCCAGGTATCTAGGGTGAAAATGTGATTTTGAGCGCGACAATTTCGTCGACGATTATTATCCGGATTTTCAATTAAACCTTCTCCGTTGCTCGATTTCATATTATAACGAGAACTCGAGCGTATATATAGTATATATTGCATATGTATGTAGATTACGTGTATGTAATTATTTTAGCAGAATCTGGATTTCATATTTTCATCTCAGCTTTATATCGTTTCGTCTTACTTTTTCGCATATTTTTTTTGTTTTTTTTTTTTGTTTTTTTTTTTTTTTTTTTTTAACTAAAGATAACCCTTCAATAATATATTATTCGTCAGATCACAGCGGACAATTCTGCAATACACATTGTTAAATTTTGGGATACTTTAATTTTATATGAGCTTCATGTTCAACTATTCATGAACGCTCATTAGAACATTTTACGAAATAACGTCAATAAAATTAAGGGAAGAAATGTTTCTTAATCACTTTAATTTAATTAAGGATCAATTAAATATGTCACAAGTAATTTAATTGACAGAAGAGTAATCTATAGAGGTTAATCATTTCAAAACGCGATATAATCAAGAGATATCGACAGATTATTCT